TGACCAACTCCATACTCTGTTTCAAATCTCCTGCGAAATCTCTAAATTTTATTAGCACAAGCTTTAGGACCAATTCAATTTGACAATGACTGATATAAATAAATGATTTTTGTTTCTTGAAAACTGTTGTTTGAATACACAGATTATTATGTTGTGATTTCCACTCAAAATATGAAAGTAGGATAATGCCATTATTTTATTGTTTCAAACAAGAAGAAATTGTACTTCCATATATGGCATAAACAGAGTCTGAAAAATCTCCATCTTCATTCTTGTATGGATTTATAGTACATGTATCTTATCCCCGAGCCAATGGCGCAGAGCGCCGTTCCGGGCGTAAGCCCGGGGTGAGGGTACCAATTTTGCCTGGCTATATCTACACCCGGGGAAATGAAAGCATTAGCAAAGTCTAAAGTTCATCAATGATAGTGGACGTGGGTCACTGTGCGTGTTTCGGTGGGTGGTCATCTCACTGATCTCAAAATATGGCTGTTTGCCAGGAGTGAAGAAGGCAAAAAATATAAAAAATACATGTAAGAAAGCTTGGAAAATCGTTTCACATAACAAATTGTAAACGTAAACATTTATAAGAATCTATATAGTATGAGAAATCTTGAGTTTGTATCAATTGTTTATGTATGACTTTGTATTAATACAGACTTTGTTCTTGATGTTCAAGTCATTCCTATGCATTGTTTGTGAAAGTTTTTTAGTTAAATTAACTTTTGTAGAAGTTCATGATAAAAAGGAAAGCAAATTATTTTCATTAGCATCCTGTACAAATGAAACTTATTTCATTTGAAGCTCGACTTCATCCTGTACAAATGAAACTTATTTCATTTGAAGCGACCACTTCTACAAGCAGTGTTGCTGTGTTGTTGGCAGGTATCCACACTACAAATAATGTGGAGGTAGGTAACATTGTTTTGAACTGACAATGGATGGGATGATCAGTTCCTCAGAGTTGTTTGCGAACCATGTAAATATCTTGAGAGATATCGACACAAGTCCATTTAAAAATCTAGACATGACTTACTCCCTTTCTTCCATCTGCAACATGCTTTGTTTTAATGTGATTTGAAAGAGAATTTGGGTGAAACTGTCTGTTGCCATCAGCAAATGAGCATCTAACTCTGGTTGCTTGCTGTCGTAGTGATCTTCATTGAGCAGGTCTGTATTCAAACTCCTGAAATGAATGACCGTCTACTCTACCTGTCATGTTCATGTTTTGTTGTTGCTGTGGCAACTGTTGATGCTGCAGCGGCTGCTGTTGCAACTGTGGCTGCTATGGCAAGGGCTGTGGTGGCCGATGCTGCTGCTGTAGTGAATGATGAAAGCGTATAGAGTAAGTAGAAATAGCTTATATTTATAACTTTTCAGACTATATACTTTTAAACAAACCTTCAAACAAGAAATCCATGTAAATGCTTCTATTGCTAACACAATGATTCAGTCACACAAAGTTATAAACATATTCTGTGTGTCCTCGTGTTCTGTTCTGTTTAGCCAATCGAATGGCATATCGACTGGTTTACTTTCATCGACAAAACTCTGACCACTGGTTTACTCATAATTGCAGGCGGTTATGTGTGATTCATGCTATGTTTACCAGTCCATGACCCACAACGATATAGTAGCAGATTACTAGTGAAACCACAGTTAATAGAAATAGAATGGTTTGAACCAGAGCGATTACACCAGAACTGAAGAAACAAAATAATCAATTTAAGCAAAGCTATATGGAGTAATATGTTCTGAAGGCTCTATCTGCCCGAGGGTGCTTTCAGTCTGCCAATGCATCTGCGTCACAACAATTAATCCGTACCAGGTACGTACAAGGTCCAAGTACCTTGGCAGAACAAGGGAACCGTTTTCTAGCCCTGTTAATATTACAAAATATCTGATAAATATCGAACTTTGGCTGCTAAGCATATGAACAACTGATGCAAACTTGGGATTAACCAATCGGAAATTATCCTGAAGGTTTTTTCCTTCACGTGCATACGTACAATGGCCCCCTCTTTGCGCAAGGACTTTTGATCGCAATGTCGACGTGCACTGCTCATTCGCAAGACTTTAGCCAGTGCGTTAGCATATCTGGAAAAATTTTTGGCTAAAATTTAAGGGACGAAACCTTGGCAAAGAAGTGGAAATTTAAAAAAAACAACAGACCAATCTTGGAACAAATGGCAAAGCAATGCGCAAGATCACAAGTCCAAGGACGACACAGTTTCCCTGAGACGCACAAGATCCCATGCATGCAGTGTTCCAGAACCAGAATGTTGCCGCTTGCAATCCACGTTCTGTGACCTCAAACGGAGTGAGTTTGTTCCATATTGTTTATATACTTCTCTAATATAACGTTCTTGAATTTACTGCTATATTACACTATTAATATATAACTTTATTTTGCTCTTCTGCTGTCCAACATGAGTCACAATTTGTATTGTATTAGTACGCTATGCATTTGCGCCTACTCAAGGTTACGTGCTATCCTATTATCTCCAGTTGCATGCTATTGCTATACTTTGTTTAATTTAATACCATACAAACAAGCACGTAATTAACTGCATATTTAGATTAATATTGTATGCGAACTTGTGTCGCATCCGCCATTCGCTCAGGCGGGAACTGTTTTGGAATATCTTAGGCTAGATCTGTTATAACAGCTGTAATACAGCCTTATCGTACTGCTACTTTATACACACGAGTCACGATTCATAATGCACTGTTTGCTGCATTTCACTTAATTTCCTGTGCACAAGTCTTAACACAGTTCTATAGCTATTATTAATACTTTGTATCATGCCAGCCGTACGAACAACATGTATTCAACTACAAAAAATTACACCCAGTACAAAGACGTGGTTTTTCTTGTTATATGAGGATGGTTTGTCATAATATAAGGACGGTTTTATTATCCTAGTTGCAAGGACGGTTTATCCTAGTTATAAGGACGGTTTATCCTAGTTAAAATGATTGAGATGTTCATATATAAACCGACCTCACCAGATCCCAACTAGAAAGGTTATGCTGTAGCAAGTTAAATGTTTCTTTGTGCAGATGTATATTTTGTTACACTATAAACCATACATATACCATGGCTTACACACGGCTTTATTTTATCTTTCCTTAAATTCAAGCCACACATGGCTGTGTATTTACTAAGAACTATGGTGCTATTGTGACTTGTGAGTCGAATAACTCGAAAAACTGCATCTGCGTCACATCACGAGCTATGTATAATAAGATTACTCAGTTATTTTTCATTAATCTCGCCGGGGAAAATCCCGCACTTATGGAGTGTCATATAACCAATTTGCGCAATAGTTTTACCACACACATATCATATACACGGCGTATATATATCGTGGCGTTCTCGTGTTGTTTGAGAGAACTAGACTATTGTCTTGCTTTCCCTTGAGGATTAAGAACAGTGCGGGAACGCTGCGGGGGCGGTGCAGTGTAGACGCTGCCTTAGTTGACCTGCATCTGGGAACGAAGGCGGACTTATGGCCTCATTAATATCATTATCGAGACGTAAGCATATAGTTATAGGCGTATAGTTATACTAATATACTCGCATACGCAACTATTTCTCGTGGCAAGATTCAAAGAGAAGATGGGTTCCCCACGCTCTTCTCAGATATAAAAAAAAAAGTGTGACTGAATGACTTCATGCATGTACACAGTTTATTAGTTGATGTTTTGCAGACCTCGGTCAGTCATCAGGTCACATCTCGCAAGCCAGAAAGGAATTCACACATCTCGTAAATCCGCAATATTCTTTATATGAATAGGGCAATGCTAAGGGCAACTATCAAAATCGTTTGCCTTTAATAATAATTGCTTTACTGGCTATAATTATACTGCCATTGGATTGCACATAGGTAATAATACTAACGACTTACAATGTCATCGCATACATATTTAAAAGTGCCAAAGACAAAGTCACAATAACGGTGTACTATTTGTAATTGTAGACTAGCTGGCAATAATACAATTTGGCTGAAGATATCTGTCAATAGGAGATTAGTTCTGCACTTTAAACACCTCTAAAAAGAAACACAGTTGTGTTTCGGTTATTTTCTCTATGGTTGCAAATGCACGCGATTTACCGTTACGTACATACATGTAGTCGCTAATACGACTACGACAAGCCCCCAATGTAATGTGGGTATAATTCTTCAATACATGAATGTAAAGTTGTGTTCCCCATGTTGTATAACACTTAGTGAAACCCACCTATATAATACCAGACTGTGCATCAGTTGGATGCATAAACAACCAAAATGCATGGCAAACACAATCTGAGAGAAACACTATACTGTTTCAAGTTATCATATATGTACTATACAGTACACTCCAGCTAGATCCATCATGCATGTATACTCGCTTTCTGTGCCTGGCAATGGAATTTGCAGAGGCAAGCAATAATTGATTTTCATCCATATCATATAACAATAATCCGCATGCATAAGTTGCTTTATAAGGCGGTTTAGCTGGCATTAGAGTATATTCACTAACATAATCAATCAGATCTTGGATTTTGAGGAACGAACATTGCATAAATGAATACGAGTCCGTTTTTCGTCCTTAGATGCAGGTTAACTATTCAGTTATCTTTCCACCTATACATTCATCACCTAGTTCCACAAATTTCTCACTGTACAGGTAGAGCACTCGTTTTTTCTCTTGCGTCTTTCCTTTTGTTTTTAAGGCGAACAACAGACTCGAATGCATTCTGGTGATGTTCACTCCTGCTATCTGAACCGAAGACTATTCCCGGATTGCAGCCTCATCGCTCGATTATGAACTCTAAAACATTCTAACCTATGAACTGTCTATATGTATTGTAATGTTCCTGCATGAATTGCGAGGACAAGGTTTTACTGAGGTTTAACCAGTAGTTTATAACGCTCAGAAGTTTCTATAATCCAGTTTAAACAATGGCAAATTCAAAATATAACCTAACTTGGATACTTGCAGGAATAAAATGGTTATAAACACTTTATACTGGTTGTAGAAAAAGCAGCTAGTTCAAAATGCCAGCCTACTTGTAAACCCGCAGAGTAAAAGGGTAAAATCACTATGCTACTATTACAACCCTCGCTACGACGTTATCGTTTGCAGTCTTAGGTATGGTGCTGTTTACCATGATGCTGATTCTTCTTACACTTGTAAAGATAGAGCTATGTGGGGAGCTGCGGGTGGTCTTGGCCCTACCCAGGTTTTCCTGTACTGCAGGTTTTTTCCTGGCCTCCCTGATTACCCAGCCTTAGCATAAGTGTCAGCATCAAGTGAACAGCATTCTCTAGTGAACCTCGGGCCTTTTGACTTCGTTAAATTGACATAGCCGGACTTGGCCGCATCGGCAATGAACTGAAACGGGTCTGCAATTAGTTCTTTCATATAAAAACAACAACAAAGTTCAAACATTTAACGAATCTGCCTAATATTGACATGCTAAACGCAAAGCAAAAAACAAATTTTTATTCTTTAACCACCCCTTTTTCACTTTATTGCCGACCCGGTCGACTCTGCGCTGCTTCCCGTGGCGGAAACGACAACCTATACTTCGTATAGATTGTCATTAATGGCAGGGAAGTGCTGTCCGATGGACAACACTTCACCACGTGAAGCGCAATCACTGCTCATTCAGGTCGCACTGAAGACCTGAATGAGCAGTCCTAGAGACTCGATGTGGTCAGTAATGTGCCCTATACCAATAGTTGTTCACCAGTCCAACTAGGTCTCAATGTCGACGGCCTGACGGATCTGAACGGGGGTTCGCCTGTTCCCCTGTTATCTAGAGGTCCACCTGTTCCTCTAGAACCTACAGTTTTTGCATGTATCCTCAGCCAGCTTTGAGAGTACCCTGGGTAATGTGCCCTATACCAATAGTTGTTCACCAGTCCAACTAGGTCTCAGCTCGCTGAACGACATGCACAGAGCCAAGCATGCCCTCTGCAGTCTAGAGATTCGCCTGTTTCTCTAGATAAAACTTAGGTTAGCGAGAGCCTCTAGACAGTTCGGCCAGAACTGTTTTCGAGCACTTCTCTGCCCAAAATATATGCCACAAAAATGTGTTCCAAGTTATTGTTGTCTTGCTTAGTTGCCAGTTGTTCGATTTTAACTACTGTCTCTTTTGCAACATATTCAACTTCATTAACATCCAATAATAATATATATTCCATAAGGTAGAATACTGCACATAGGAACTGAATTTGGGTGGGGAAGCATAATCATAGTTCATAATTTATATTGCATTTAGCTTTCATTTATCTTTGTACATATACTTGAAATTTCTGGAATGTTATTGGGAACTTAGGTGTCAAATATATTTTACTAATCTCTTGGTGATCACTAGAGTTAGACCATTCTGATGTCACATGAAGTAACTTTGCTATAAGTATAAAATATGAATATAAAGGAATTGTCCAAGCTAGTCTGTTAACATTTAATGTTTTGTAGAATTGTACACTCCATGCACTTTAGCTATTTAATCCCCAGGCCTTGCATGGCTTTTCAACTCCCAGCTCTACAAGCCTTTTAACCCCCACTTTGATTCACATTGTCTCTCCAACTCAGCCCCGCCCCCCTACATTGAAAGCTTGTTACTGTTTGAGAACTACCTTACTGAAACTCTAAAAGTGTTTAGATGCATGTGCCAACCAAGTACACCCCCTCCCACTGGAATCCTAATATCAGCCATAGGCTAAACATATAAGTTATCACACGATGGCTTGCTAACAACAAATAAAATATAATATGCCAATGTGTGTGAACACATTTTTCTGTTTACTTTCATGCTTAGCAGTGGAAAATGACACTTTTTCCCAACCCACCTCATAAATTTCCTTGGGGGATCTTTCTGGAATGACCCAATGAGATTGCTTGCTTGTAGTTTTCAAACGTATATTTACAAAAATCAGAATAAAATTTGACATAATTTACAAGTTTGGTTTAACCTATTGAGTGGCAGCACTCTCCCCCTGACGAGTAAAATCATCTGGTGTTATATAATACCTTATTGAATTCTGATCGTTTGATTGGCTGTTTATGGTCACATGATATTGAATAGAAAACTCCATTTCCCAAGAGTGCAATGGGACATGTATGGTGGCCGAGGGCTGCCAATAATTTTTTTTCATAATTTTTAAATAAATACATAAATTTTTGTAAAGTAAAATGAAAAAAGATAAAAAAAGAAAAAAAACTTAAATAAAATGAAACAAAATTAAAATTAAAAGTAAAATGAAATCAAAGTAAAACAAAAATAAAATATTCACGTGGCCCATCGCTGCCACTACCATAAGTCTTTGCGAACCGAATACTATATGATAACTACTTCATGTCAGCCTTGTGTATAGTGTTTGGAAACCGCATGTAAATATGGCGGAAGCGTGGAAAAAAACTCAAGGACAAAGTTAAGGACAAACGAACAAAAGCACAAAAACAGGTTTACAGGAGACCCAAAGACGTCCAAAAGGAGAAGAATTGACTGTTCAGCGTCTTTCAGCTCATGTTTCCGGGAAAGCACAGAAATATACTCACATGGGACCTCGAGAGTTTGTGCCATTTCCCGAGAAATTGGAATTCAATATTGGCAACATTAAAAGTGCTTGTCTGAAGCATTTTGCACCGACCATTGGGAGTGATGTCGTTTGTGATATTCTCACGGGAGAACAAGGACCGTCCTGTAAGTGCCATAACCAAATTCCTGATTTGAAGGTTATTCACGTTTGATTTTTGCCTGACACAAGCGCTCATGTCCCTGATGTCAACAAAGTTGGTACAAAGAAAAGAAAGGCAATCGACAGCCTGATCGACAGTGGCGCGTTCGACGTTGACGATTGGGAGCCGCCTAAACCCAGTATAGCATCTCATCTTGAAACCAAGTCTAGTCCAAACAAATTCCGAAAGCCTGGAGACACCGTGTCTGCTGATTTTTCCTCCCAAAGCAAGCATATTCCGAAAAGTTTGTCAATATCGGACATGATAAAACTAATTAAAGTAAACAAGTTGACTGCGACAACCTTGGTCAAATTGTATCAGTTTGATATGGAAATGCGTGCCTGGTCGAAGATTCATACAGAAGTAGAATTCTTGGTAGAGTAACAGCCTTTGGGCTCTGGAGGCTTCAGGAAAGCGTTTAAAGCAACATGAAGGCACAAAGATTTTGCTGGCACAAGCTGGGTTATATCAAGCATTATCTTCCTCAGGCTCTAAAATGCATAGCAGATACGGGACAAACAGTGGAAGACCATAACCGCAAGGTTGTCCAGGATCATGTTACTAAAGGATCATGTTACTAAAAGTAAAGGAAGTGATGAATTTGGTGATTTTCTCCGGTACAGGAAAATCTTCCATGGGGAAACAGATGGAGGAGAATATGTGGCAGTGGAGGAATTTATACCTGGCTGCTTCACAAAGTATATAAACAACACTGGTTTGAGCAGTGTCAGTATCGAATCTGCAAATATTATTGGTCTGAAAGCTGAATGCCTGGTTCACTTTTCCTACCAAAAGTCAGGAAAACAGTTGATGGTTGTTGATATACAAGGTAACGGGTATGATTTATTTGATCCGGAGATTGCATCCACTGAACTGGTTGATGCAGACATGAACTACCTATACTGCACTGGAAACCTATCAGATGTGGCCATTTCAGCCTTTATTCGCCAACACAAGTGCAACCGATATTGTGTTCTGGCCGGACGTGAGCCGTTAAAAGCATAACTTTTGTGGTACTAGAGGAACCTTGATAGAATAGTCTGTTGATATTATATTGTTTATGGTGAGGGTTAGATCTGGACAATGCTTAAAGATTTTCCATGTATTTTCTTTTGATTCAGATTGCATTGCATGCCCCTATTTTTATTGGTTATTTTGAGCCATCCTTTTGTAAAATGTAGGTATGGTATTACATAGGTAAAAAATATGTTGTGTTCTTTTGTTATGTTAGAATTGAGTTAACTGGAAATAAACTGAGTTTTGATCTTGGTTTATCTTACTTGTAGTCCAACATGTTTGGAATGACTTTGTAACAACTTCATTTTATTAATTAATAATTACATTGATATACACTTGGATAATAACATATTGGACTCATTAGTGTCTGAAATGTTGTTTTAGAAACAGAAATGTCTCTTTGCAATCTGAAGGTTGCAAATGTTTTACATCAACAATTCTCTCACATTCCTCTCTGAATTCAGTTGTAAGATAATCATCTGGTACATCAAGAACACCAGATTCCATAGCAACCTCTTCAAGTTGATCATCTGTCACTGGTATTCCTGCAAATAAGGGAAACATGTATACTTTATCTTTTAAGTGCACAACATAGGTGGCACTACTGGGGGTAAAGGAAGGGTGTGGTACAGGGGGGGGAGTACAGGAGGGTGTGTGGCCCCTGGTGGTGTCCAGCACCCCCTTCATAAAATCTGCCATTTTGTATTAAATTTTGAATTCGCTGTACCTTAAACACAAGTAATGTGATAACAAATTTAACAAATAAATTTATTGCCCAGAATAGCATTTTAGAGTTTTGAATTTAATTTTTAACCCCCCCCCCCCTAGTAATGCACCCCTCTCTCGAAAACCCCCTTTCCCTCTAACAGATTAGGCCAGATCCACCCTTGGCACACAACAATGCATCAGAATTTGCTCCCATAATTATTTTATTCTATCTTAAGTACAGACCATTTTAATCTGTTTAATCAATGTCAGACGACATACCACATTCTTGTAATCCATACTTTTCAGGAAAGCTATACATGTGGTTCCGGGACTCCATTTGGGAGATATGTATCTTTCTGAGCACGAATACGATGAGTATTCCATACTACATCCTTGAAGTCATTCACCTCTTTCTCTACCACTGGGATCATAATATAAGCCAGGAGCATTCTAAGAATGTCAGATTCTTATTTATTAAACTGAATATAATTCTTATGCACTACTCAACAGGAAGACCTCTCCATAAATAAGAGCTACAATTTTAATGCAACATGCAACCAGAGCAAAACCAAATCCTACCTACAAATCTGAAGGGGAGGGGTATTTTCCATTTCTTCCACAGCCAGGTTTAACCCATTAAGCTGCAGAGTTCCCCATTGATCAGTAAAATCATCTGGCATTAAACAAGTAAAAAAATAGGTGGGGCACATTGCGGCTGAATGGGTTAAATAAGGTTACAGTACATCAGGGTTCGATGGAAACTTGTCTGGTATTTTTATATACAGCATAAAGCAGTATTTTTTTCTGTGTTGGTGTTATGCATAGACATCTTATATACACTAGATAGTGCATCTAATTATTCTGCAATTCAAAAATTGAAGCTGTGATTGCAGTCTCAGGTCGTTCCCATGAAATGAGGAGATTCGTATATTTTCTATTTCTTAAACAGGGAACTTAAACATTAAGTTAAATCTATTCGAAATACGAGTTTTCAAACTATTCAAATGATGAAAGTTATTGTTGGTTTTAAGCGTTTATTAGCAAGTGGGAACGACCAACATGGCTGCCATCTATTCAAATGGATGTAACCGCTGGAATATTCTTGGCTTCAATTTTACTAAAAGAGATGCGCTATCTAGTGTATATAAGATATCTATGGTGTTATGTACTCAGGTGAATATGAATATGGGGCTAGTATTCCAAAGGTTGTAGGTTCGATTCCCACCGTGTGGCCAGGCATACTTTTCAAGCTTGTCCGGTGTGGATATACACTCAGAGTAACATCACAAATATCATAAAGCAGTAGTATTTATAACCTGTCAACATCATCATGGGGGTTGTAATGTCCTTGGTTTTTTAACCATAGCAGTTGCTCTTTAAAAAAATTTTCCAATTTCTCATGGAGTTCCCTCCACCATCTTTCGATCTGAAATAATTAAATATGTACTTAATAATTTCATAACTGCAGCAATATTCATAATGTGACTCTGTCCTTGTTAGTTTATTCTTTGAATTTTTATGAACCACATATTAAAATGCCTAATTCCTCAGCCAGGTCTAATATTGTAGGTGCACTTTACTGGTATGCTACCCTTTGTAATTAACATAGCTTACATTGTAAATCATGTTACCTGATTGGATGTAGAGGGACCATATAATATTGAGTCTACTGGGTCAAGGTCATCTGGGTTATTTCTTCGAAGAAAGGCATGAATAGTTGCCATGGTACCAGTTTCTGAACCCCTGTCAATTCTCAGCATTGATGGCATAACTTTAGTTTCCAGGAGATATTCCATGTGCCAACGACCAACCAACTGTGGATCACAATTGTTCATCCACACCTTAATCCATAGCAATTTTCGACTGGCGGAGTCTAAACACCCATAAACAGCTATAGGGAAGGTTGAGCTTTGATAGCCCATGAGTTTATCATGGCCGTCGAGTGAATGCAACCAGTTTGGCCCTACTGATACGAAATTCCCCTTTCTTTTGTGGTTCTTCTGTCCAGGTGTCTGTGCGACTAACGCTTGCAGGTCTAAATTCGCCATTACATCATACACCTTCTCTCGGGTGACATACAAATCATATTTCTGTCTTATTTTTTTGTGCATCAGTCTGTAGCCGAGTAACTTTCCAGGTCCATCTAGTTCATTTCTTACTGCTTGCTCTACTTGCTCAACGGCAATTTCTTTATCGTTGTAATATATTTCAAAATGACGTAAACGTCTGTCAAGCGAGCGAATGCTCCACGGATATTGAGCAAAGTCTTTTTGGAAAAAGTCAACAATCTCACTTCTTGAGCCTTTGCTTCACAAGTCTCTGCATTTCAGCTTTCAGTGCTTCGTCAGTTTTCCAAATTGCTAGTCTGTTGTCAGCCATTTTCCAAACACTATACCCAAGGCTGACATGAAGTAGTTATCATATAGTATTCGGTTCGCAAAGACTTATGGTAGTGGCAGCGATGGGCCACGTGAATATTTTATTTTTGTTTTACTTTGATTTCATTTTACTTTTAATTTTATTTAAGTTTTTTTCTTTTTTTATCTTTTTTCATTTTACTTCATTTTACTTTACAAAAATTTATGTATTTATTTAAAAATTATGAAAAAAAATTACTGGCAGCCCTCGGCCACCATAGACATGTTCCATTGCACTCTTTGCAAGTGCACTTGTACTACCGTAAACCTCCAACTATAAGCCATGGGCTTATATTCTTTCGTAAGCGATTTTTGATGGGCTTATATACAGGGAGGGGGTCTTATACATGAATGACCTTTTGTGTTAGTGTAATAGTGATAAACAAGTATAGTCAACTATGGTCATCTTCGACATCGAAGGACGAACTACATAGTGTAATAGTGATAAACAAGTATAGTAATATAGTGATAAACAAGTGCTAAACAAGCATACTATGTCTACTATTGTAATAATAGTGATTAATAGTGGTAATAGCATAGATATGAGATATCAATGGGTATTAGTGATAAACAATAGTGATAAACAAGTGGGCTTAAATTCAGGGGGGGGGCTTATAGTTGGAATGAGGTGAGCGTTAGTACATCTGGTGGGCTTATACAAGGGGGCTTATATTGTGGGAGCTTATATTTGGAGATTTACAGTATACGTTTTATTCCATTCCAATCTTTGTGTTTTCGATAAATCGAATCCGTCAAAATGCTTCTCATACGAATCTATTAGTCTATCTTGGTATTATTTAAATCAAATAATGAATGTTTATGAGTGCAATGGTAAAAATATTCCCATTTGGTGAAAGGATGGAATGTTCTATTTAACTTGGAGCCTTGTTGAATGGAACATTCCGTCTTTCACCGAATGAAAATATTTTTACCATTGCACTCATAAATATTCATTATTTGTATATTAGACAGAGTAAAATAATAAAGTATAGTGCATTGCCACTTAAAGGTTAATATGGTGTGGTTATTTTGTTCATGTAACGAAAAGTTGTATTGAATTGTCTGCTTAAAAGTGTATTTTAACTTAATTCACTGTTCTTGAAATCCTTTCGCAATGCCTTAGATTTCCTTTGTTTTTCTCTAATATTGTATTGAGTAATATAATCTCTGGCATATGAGAATGATCTTACTTTCAAGAAAAGTTTTACAATGTTCTCTAAACACAACTTTTGTGTGTCTCCAGATGGATTAACTCCAGATGAAACCACAATATTATCCCACAATGATTTCACAATGGGCGTGCTAATAGTTTTATAACAAATCACATGGCCACTGGGATATTTCTGAGGACGTCCTTTGATTTGTTAACCTCTCTACGAAAGTTTATTTCTGCCTCTTGCAAAATTCCTATGAGGTCATCTGATGGGTTGACAAGACCGACCGCCTCTGTTTTTAGCTTGTATGAAGCTGTTATTTTCTTGCTCCAACTGTGCAGGCTCCTAAGTAATCCTTCGAGTTCAGTGTTTTCTGACTCAGTCTTTTTCTTTCTTGCACTCATTAACTTCCCAACAACATATCCAGCAATATAGGAAAGAGGTCCCATTTCACAAGCTTCAATCTTTCAAATCTTTTCACATTCTTTTGTTGTGTTCTCAGTGGTGGTGACTGAGGCATCACCTCTTCCACTTATATTATAGAATGATATTAAATGGTCTGGAATAGAGGAGGAATGATTGTCTTCCCACAATGCATTGCATCTCATTATTATTCACAATTACGATTTTCAACAAACGTTTGGCGAAAAGTTGTTGAAATACATTGCGATTTTGGCTTCGTATATCTCGTTTTTTTGATGGTATGTTTTTATATTTGTATTATTTAAGAACCTAATTAAACAATTTTTGACTTATTTGGTACAGGAATTGCTTTTTAGTTATGCTAATTTGTATTGTAATTATGCTTGTTCCAGGTCAGTGGACACGCCAATAAAATGTCCTTGATATAATGCAGGACATTTTATTGGCGTGTTGTGCATGTATCATCTTACAAACGTCATTTTTACGTTTGTGAACCAACTACCACATATGTCACACATAGTCCTCATTTGCTCCTTCTCTTTGTTTTTTCTTCTTTTGCATGGTTTTTGGTGCCCACCTAAATGGTGGGCTGATGGAAAGATCCTGTCACAATTCCTTTTTTTTAGGAAAATAAAAACAAAACACATCATCGAATTTGGGAAGATTTATTCTTTCTGTTACTTTAAAACATGAATTTGCTCCACTAAACTGACGAGTGATATTGCGGTTTGAAAATGGGGTACTTTTGCTATATTCTATCGCTGATGGCGGGAATAGACCGCCTGATAATCATCATGGCCCGAAGGAAATTATTGTACTATAAACTTATAAGGAAATTATTGTACTATTTTCCATGATAATTTTGAAACATACGCATAATATGTTCGTATATATTTCCCCCAGGGAAACCTAATAATAAAAGACACATAATTTCTCGTTTTAAAAATTCAACATCAAGCCGAACTTTGTCCAAAGCCAAGGTGTATTTAAAAGTACAAATGTTTTTACAAACATATTAAAAATACAGTATGATTACACAAAAACATTGTATATTTTTAATGAAGCAACATGTTAATAATGGGGGCTTGAGTTATTATCATAGTGACAGTAACATTGTATTTTAATGCTTTTTTGCCTGGGAGAATTTCTGTCCATAGGCATATGAGGCTGGGCATTGCAACCCCTCCAGTCAGTGTTTAGTATTTCTGCAAGTCTGTATAGGAGATGTGTTCCTTCTATTTTATACCTCTTGTTCATCTATCAATAAACTCATGACAATATCGGGCAGTTTATATCCACCCGTACGCCACTATTATTTTTCAATGCTGGGAGTGGCATTCCAGAAAACCTATAGTACACAAATTTCCTGGAGAAGCATGCCCACAATCCTGGTAAAAATCCATGAGTTTCTTTGTTGTTGTCTAATTGTGCTGGCACTAACATTGCCCCTCTCACTTTTGCTGTTTGTTTTGTAGTTTCTTATCAGAAAGATTAAACGACTCCTCCAAAGAAATTCCCAGTTAAACTTCATAAATGGACATTTGAGGAAGATAAAGCATTCATTGAATTCATATCTGTTGCAGAAAATCATGCAAATCATTACGATTGAAGAGGTTTACCAATTATGTAATACCTCTAGATTGTTTTAAT